CAGGAAGTGGATGCTCTGCCAAGTTTCCCTTGGCCAGACATGGTGACACACAGCTGGCCTAAAGCTCGGGAAAGAAAAGGCTGCAACATGTATTCCTTGGCCTGGCTAAACACAACTTCCACACAAACTTGCACAGCTCACAGCAAGGAGCTCCTGACATGACACAAGGAGCTCCTATGAGTCATTATCAACGAGAAAATTATATTTGTGATGTAGAAAAACATACCCTTGAAAACCCTCTAATTAAGGTCTATTGAAAAGACCTTAATTAGAAGGTTTTCACCTTAATTAGAGGTTCTAAATTTAAGGGGTTTTCATTTAGAGGGTTTTGGGCTGTCTGGGGAGGCCATCACACCGCTCTTTTGAGGAGGCAGTGGATGCGTTCCTCAAGAAATGGAGGTCCTGGTGAGTGGCACCTGAGGGCAACTCCCCTCGGTAAAAGGGTGAGTTACAAACTTTTGACCGACTGTCAACTCCTGTTGGTATAAGGGGGTGAGTTGAATTTTGACCAGCGTGCAACTCCCCTTGGTAAAAGGGTGAGTTGCACTTTTCACCAGCCAGCTTTCATTAAGCACCAACTCCACTAGGTAAAAGGGTGAGTAGAAGTGCAGAAAGAACCAAGAGCGCAGAGAAAAAGGTGTTGGATAGGGTGCTGGGCGTTTCTGGGTGGGAGTGGACTGACAGGGTTTGGACGACAGAGTTTTGAACTATGCCCTTGACAAAAGGGCAACAAACAAACATGGTTGGGACTGGCCGTGTTGGACCATGCCCTTGATAAAAGGGCAATGAACAACCAGGGTTTGAAGTGACAGGATTTGTGGACCATGCCCTTGATAAAAGGGCAATGAACCACCAGGGTTTGTGCAGGCAACTGATCATAGTTTTGTGAATAGGCTCTCCATCATCCAAAGCCCCCTCAGAACTTTCCGTCGCTTGGACCAGAGGTAACCCACTAAATCTATTGGTGAAGGAGAGGAGGTAAGAAGTGCTTGGTCTTTGCTGCCTTGGCTTCAAGGCAGGCATGCTGGGCATGTAGTTTGGCAGCGTCGCAAATCATGGACAGTCGCAAATTGGTTAGCCTTGAGCTAACCTGACGTTCTTAATAAAGCTCCTTGGTTCTGCCAAAAATTGCTTGGAGCCTTTGTGCTGGTGAAATTCTTTGCCTTGCTCCACACCATCGAAAAAAACAAAGGTAATGCAAGAGAGAGCCTCCCAGGTGGGACGCCAACCCCCTTGAATGCACAATGTGCAGTGAGTCTCCTCTCGCCAGTGCAGTGCTGATCCCCTGTACATCAAAAAGGGGATGCAAAACCATCCTTTTATCAAGGAGGGCTTGCTCAGGAGTGACATAGACATAGTCTTGGCGCTCTTCTTTCAGCTCCTTCACTGATTTGCCTTGAGGGCATTTGATGCCGTTGAAAGTTGACTTTTGTGCATCACATTCAGCACATGGAAATTTGTTCTGCCAGTGAGGCATCCCCGGCTGTTGCTACAAAACTCCAAGTCCCCTGCGTAGCAAAAATGAACGCTCTGTGGCATAGCTGTCAAAGGCTGGCCAATGGCTGGCCTGCCTTGCCAGCCAAATGCTGCGGCAATGCAGATCCATAAGAGTCCTTGGAGGGATGCCTGCCTTTTATCAAGTCATCGAAGCGCCAACTAATCCAATCATTGAGTGGAGCCCATGTTGTGCCAACAGTGCAAGATTTTGGAAAGGCAGCCAAAAGAATATGCTGATGCAGTGCTGATGCTTGCTCAACATTGAGGCCATGACCAAGTCATCAAGCTATCCCTGCTCTGGAATTCGACTCCATCCCCATGCGCATAGATTGGGCATGTGAGTGCAGGTTGCGCCACCCTTTTTACCAATAGTGGTAGAGGGAGCTGAAAACCAGGTGTGGAAGGAACTGGCAAGCATCTTCTTCTGAAGATTTCCTGGCGCAAGACATCCAGCTGGATTGGCGTTGGTTCACAGAGCTGGATGCCTTTTCAAAAATTTGACATTAAGTCCCTGTGTGCATTCCCTTTCTGCTGCCCAAAGTTTACACAGCTTGCTAACTTGACAATGTGAGCTGACTTGCAGCCTTCTAGCGTAGCAAGATGGCCAATCTCTGCCACACAAGGCAGAAAGTCGACCCAAAGACCATAGTTCAAGCAATCTGGCGCGTAAGGGGCTGTGTGCTGATGAGGATGCTGATGATGGACAACTCTGCTCCTCACCACTTGCTAGAGCCATCTCTGCCTTCCAACCAGGCACCTTTTAGCAAGGCTTCAATAGCTTGGGCCCAACGCAAACAAATAAGTTGTGTTATTGGATTGAAATCAGAAGTGAGTGGTATTTACCCTGAACACAAACACCCTTTGTAGAAACAAACAGCAACCACAACACAACACTAGGTTTTGGGTGGTTCCCAGCTGCTTTCCCCCACAGGCGCCCCAAGCACAGCAGTTGTTTTCCCCATTCTTTGTTGCTAGTGCTGTGTGCCCACGCCTGGTCATCCTTTTAACCAGGAGAGCCCACGCTGATACTATCCACAAAGCCTTTTACCAAGACAAACGTTAAATAACGCAAGCAAAGGCTTTTCCTCATAGCAAGGAAGAGCTTGTTGCTGGAACAAGAAGTGCTTACAAATTTCCTTTTAACAAGGAAATATGGTACTGCATCACTTCTTGGAGGCCTTGCTGCAAACCTTGTTTGCCAGCTGGTTGAGTTCCTTGGCTTCTTCCCTGAGTTCTTTTGTCTTGTTCATGACATCGACCAAGGCTTGCTTTGCCTTGCTGAAGGTCATTGCTCGTTCCTTCTTTGCCAAAATCATTTTCACCACATTGACATTCCTCATCAAGCCCTCCAGCATGCTCTCAGTGTCACCCTTTGCTTGTTTGGTTAACCTTTTAGCAAGGTCAGCCTTCTTGAGTGCAGCCCCAACATGATGCATGACCACAGCTGCCTGATCTCTGGCTCTCTTGGCTTTGGAAAGAAGTTCCTTCCACTGCTGCTCTTCACTTTTTTCTTCTTCACCATCTTCAATGGCCAATGGGCCAGCTCCCTCGCCTTTGCCTTTCTTACTCTTGCCTTTTCCTTTTTCAAGGACAGGCTTCCACGCCCCTTGCCTTTTGCGCGTGTTTTCCATAAGGCTACGCAAGTCCATTCCACTGACACCATCAAAGTTGGCTAGGTCATCATTGTCTGGTTGGTATTCTTGGCCCTGCACCCATTGCTTGTTGCTTCTCATAGATATCACCCCTGTCATAGTGGTTGTAGATACCAGCTGTCCATGGGTCTTCTCTCCATTGGATGCGACCACTGTCTAGATGCCTGTAGAACTCTTCTTCTCCAAAGCTTTCCAGCATCTTCTTCTCTGACTCCGAGTTCTCCCTTTTATGAAGGGTGCGAGAATGGTCCAAAGACTCCTGGTGGTGGAAGAACTTGGGCACAGTGGTTTTCACCGGACTGCAAGGCAGCCTCAAAGCCTTTCTCAACCTTCCCTTTCTTTTCGAATTCCTTCTGCTCCTTTTTGCTTGTGCCTTTTGAGTGCTGTTTGGTATTTTGACCAAACCCTGCTATGCTCTTGCCGTTCCATCATGTTCTTGAGGTTGGTAGCTTGCTCATCTTCAGGCCTGGCTTCATGACCTTTTTCTTCCCTTTTACCAAGGGTGGTTTGCCACTGGCTTTCCCTTTTACCAAGGGTGCCCTTTTCATGGCTGGCTTGGATTTGATGGCTTTGGGTTGCGTACTTCCGTTCTACAATGAATTATTGTAGAGCGTCCCTACCAGCAATTTCGGACGCTCTTGTTTGAGATGGAAACTGGTTTCGCAAGTTGTTTTGCATGGGAAGAAGTCCCGACGTCCTTGGCAGAAGCTTTGCTCTCCCAGTTGCCTTCCGCGTGATGTTTGTCTTACCCCCCACAGCGCGTGTGCGCAGCTCTACCTGTGGCTCAGTCCTCCTTCAGGAACTTCCTGCAGAATGTCGATTCCAAAGCTTGCGCAAGAGTCTCCAACAAGGGTCATTGCCGCGCATGTTCCCCTCCAGGGACATTTGACGAGAGCAGAGACAGACATGCCTGCTGGATGGACGGCGCGCGTCCCATGAAAGTCTGTGTGGCTCAGTCCCTGGTCTTTCTGCCAGCTGTCCACTTTCTAGTGTTGCTGTGTAGACAAAAAGAAAGAACGCTTGGAAGTAATCTCGACATGAGTACCAGACTTGAAAATCGATGTGTCTGGCTTGCGCACGTATGCAGTAGCCCATTTACCTTTACTTTCCCATGTGGAGGCTCAAGCTTTCTCCCGTGGTCTTAGAACGAATTTGTGGTCTCGTATTTCTATATACTGCTCTACTCACGTGACATTTTCTTCTTTGGGTTCGAGTCGCGCTGCTGTTTTTTGGATTTTAGCTGAGAAACTGCATTGGTGACATAGACAAGATAACAAACGCTTGGAGGTGGTTTCAACACTCTTGCAGACATGGGATTGAAAGAGCGACGTCATGTGTTGTTTGTCTTGCATGTTGGTCTGGATATGTGTGGACGTCGCTGTTTTCCTTTCCGAATGACTTCCACAAATGTGACGCACACAAAGGGCTCAAGTTCTACCAAGATGCTTCATGAAAGCGCTGTGACCATCAAGTCAGAGTTCCTGACCTGCGTCTTGCCTGGTGGTAAAGGCCTTGAACTTCGCAAAACCCCGTGCTATGGAAACTGACAGTCAGAGTGTGTTTCCACGAACTTATTCTTGGAGGTATTGCTGCTTTTGCTGCCGCGGTTACGCAGCTGCGCGCCCTGGTGACGCCGCTCCCTTCGGTCACTGCGCGCTGGGCGCTGTTGCTGCGAACCCTACGCGCGCAAGAAAAAAAAGGGTCGCGCCTCTTCTGACCTTGCTGTTTTCGATCCCTGTCTTTCAATGATCTTTCACATTCGGGTTCGTGGGTTCTATCTTGTTGTTTTTTGTTCACAGACTGGGATTTGGCATTTTCGTGGTCACACACTGTGTGGATCTTGCGAGCCAGGATCCAAGCAGGGGGCATGCAAAAGCTAGGAGAGCCTCGGTGAATTCATGTCAAATCTCAGTGCAATTCAGTTGCGCGTTCGTCGCCCACCAGATGAGGTGTTCCGCGTATCCATTCTTTGTCTTCGCGCAAATGTAATCAATGCTCCAAACATACTGGACCTGTGGTGCATCCACATTTGGTTGCGTAATGCAATTTTCAAGAGAACCATGATGTTCATGTAATGTTCAGTAGTTGGCATCTTTTTTCCATTGTTGGTCCTGATTTTCAATGCAGCCAGCGAAGTTAGGTAGTGGTCCAAGAGCACTTTGATTATGAAGAATTAGTTGCGGGCTCAGCAGCGATTGGCTTTGTGCTCACTTAGAGGACACGGCGTAACGCTCATGATAAACAGTTTGAGGCCAAGGACGCCTTGTTTTTGGTATCTGGCACAACCACCCTCGATGCTGGCACCCTCAAAAAGATAAACGCCGAAAGGCTGAAGTCTCTTGCTGGCACTTTTGTTGTGTATTTGATACATTCCCCCGCACTTGTTTAAATTCAAAATTATGTCCTTTCAGTGGCGCTTAATTTTTGGTTCATCCATCGAATGGCTGTTTGATTAGATGCCTGCCCCCGGTCACTATGAAAAGGCTAAGATAGTTTGTCATGGGATAAATCCTCGCGTATTGAGGTTTCATGCTACATAAGAAACTACCCAAATGTTGAGTTCCCAAGTTGTAGATGGCAAGGAATGGAGAAAAAGAGCTACCAGATGCGATAAATGTGCAGCAACAGATGCACGAGATCGAGGTGCAGACAGGGATTTGGCTGATTGTTGTTGCACACACTTTGACAGATGTTTGTTCCTCGTGTGATGCACCGTTTTGGTTGCTTTAGTTTTTCTCACCCGCAGGCGCGTGGCTTTCAGGTGCTTGGGTGTGGCGTTGGAGATGATGGCAGCCTGCTGCGTGAAGGTGTCCCTCTTCAGGAGGTGAGGACTGGTTGGGCGCGTAGACGTTGCACTAAGCCGCTCATCTCCGATCAAGACCTCCGGCTGAAATGTGGCATGGGCAAGAATGATGATAATGAGGACAGATTTCGACGCCTTCGCAAATTCTTACACCATCTTACACCATGTTTTTTTCATTGTTTGTTTGATGCTTCAAACGTTCGTTCATCATGCTTTTACACCTGTCATGATAGGGTCAACGCCTCCTTTCCTGTTGCTTTTCCTTCAGGACCGATGGCTGGTCCATTACAGACACTATTCCGAGAAGACCAAATGTGGCGTCCTAATTTTAGCAGGTCGGGCTCGACGCATGCGCAGACCCTGTGCGTGCTGCTGACCAGTGCTAGGCTAGGTAAGTCTACGTCGCAAGCCGACGCAGGTAGCGTGGATTTCTTTCGTTTGTGGGCAGCGTCTGATGCCACCAAGCTGCAATGTAGTGTTGATAAAGGTGTTTTTTCACGCTAGTCTACCTTATACAATCACGGTTACCTACCTGCAATCCGAAACGACCGCTCTTTTTTGTCGTATTGAAAACAACCTTTGCCCGAATGCGTAGCGAAGGGTTCTCGTTTAACTCTGGGGGTCTGGGGGCAGACCCTTGTTCGCAACCCGTTGTTTCTATGTTCGCAACCGTCCGCAACCGTTCGCAACCGTCCGCAACCGTCCGCAGTAGAGGCTAAGGCGCTGCCATTGGGGGAAGCTTGTGGAGAGGGTTTCGGATGAAAACGTGACGTGTCAGATTCCTGTGAAATAGCGAGGAATCGTCGTGTGGAAATGTAAGATGTTGAAGTGTGCTGGATGATTTCACTGCGCAGGCGCAACGTTTTGTGAGATCCGCAGTTTGCTGCGCACGTTTGGAGAGTCGTGGTTTTGGGGTGTTGGATGTGGCCGTGCCATTGGGATTTGCGTTTCAGGGTGTGGCATCGAAGCTCTGTTTTCGTGACAAGTCTCAGCTGAAATGGCGATTTTGGTGGATGGGAGTGTGCTCAGAACGGGGCGAAATCATTCCAAACGTTTGGTGAGGTGCAAATTTTGTTGAAGCTCACATGAGATGATATTGTCACTTTTCGTGGCAGGCGCAGTACTTTGTGCGGGCTTTGAGGTGTGGAAGTGCGATTTTCGTGGCAGACGCAGGGAATCGTGAGGTTGCGAGGTGTGACGGAGGTGACATTTCGTGGCAAGGGCAGTACTTTGTGCGCGTTAGACGTGTGGACCCGGAAAGATTCGTGGCAGGCGCAGGGAATCGTGAGGTTGTGAGTTGTGGTAGAGGTGAATGTCGCTGTCACATTGGGATTGGCGTGTGAGCGGGTGTTGTTTGGAGGGGCTGGAATCGCAACTGCTTGGCAGGGCTGCGTGATGCGTGTGCTCCGATGGGTGTTTCCGCTTGACTTTTGGAGGAAGTCTCGTACGAAACGCTCGTTTTGCAGACTTTGATGTGTGACTTTTGAGGAAGTCTCGTACGAAACGCTCGTTTTGGAGACTTGACGTGTGACTTTTTGAGGAAGTCTCGTACGAAACGCTCGTTTTGGAGACTTGACGTGTGATATTTGGAGGAAGTCTCGTACGAAACGCTCGTTTTGGAGACTTGACGTGTGACTTTTGGAGGAAGTCTCGTACAAACGCTCGTCTTGCAGCCTCGAAGCGTGTGTCCTACAAGACTGTCCCAGATAGAGTGTCCCACAAGAGTGTCCCGTATGAGTGTCCCACAAGAGTGTCCCACAAGAGTGTCCCGCAACCGTGTCCCACAAGAGTGTCTCACAAGAGTGTCCCGCAAGAGTGTCCCACAAGAGTGTCCTATAAGAGTGTCCCACAAGAGTGTCCTATAAGAGTGTCCCACAAGAGATCACAAGAGTGCCCTTCAAGAGTGTCCCACAAGAGTGTCTCGCAAGAGTGTCCCGCAAGAGTGTCCTACAGGAGTATCCCACAAGAGTTTCCTACAAGAGTGTCCCACAAGAGTGTCCTACAAGAGTGTCTCACAAGAGTGTCCTACAAGAGTGTCCCACAAGAGTGTCCCACAAGTGTGTCCTGCAAGAGTGTCCTACAAGAGTGTCCTACGAGAGTGTCCTGCAAGAGTGTCCCACAAGAGTGTCCGGCAAGTGACCCACAAGAGTGTCCTACAAGAGTGTCTCACAAGAGTGTCCCACAAGAGTGTCCGACAAGAGTGTCCCATAAGAGTGACCCACAAGAGTGTCCTATAGTGTCCCACAAGAGTGTCCTACAAGAGTGTCCCGTAAGAGTGTCCCACAAGACTGTTCTGTAAGAGTGTTCCACAAGAGTTTCCTACAAGAGTCAGCCACAAGAGTGTCCTACAAGAGTGTCCCACAAGAGTGTCCCACAAGAGTGTCCTATAAGAGTGTCCCACAAGAGTGTCCTACAAGAGTGCCCCGCAAGAGTTTCCTACAAGAGTGTCACACAAGAGTGTCCCACAAGAGTGTCCTGTAAGAGTGACCCACAAGAGTGTCCTACAAGAGTGTCTCACAAGAGTGTCCCACAAGAATGTCCGACAAGAGTGTCCCATAAGAGTGACCCACAAGAGTGTCCTATAAGAGTGTCCCACAAGAAGTGTCCGACAAGAGTGTCGTGTAAGAGTGACCCACAAGAGTGTCCTACAAGAGAGTGTCCCATAAGAGTGAGCCTTCTTCACGAAAGCTCTAGAGAAGTCGGCTGGGCACGGCGCTCGGCCGGTAGCCTTTGCGTGCTGTGCGCGGCGCTTGCTGCTTGCCAAGGGGTCGGATGTCAATGTATGCCCTGGCGTCGGCTGGGCACCGGCGCTCTGCCGGTAGCCTTTGCGTGCTGTGTGCGGCGCTTGCTGCTTGCCAAGGGGTCCGCGCCCTGGCGTCGGCTGGGCACCGGCGCTCTGCCGGTAGCATTTGCGTGCTGTGTGCGGCGCTTGCTGCTTGCCAAGGGGTCGGATGTACGCCCTGGCGTCGGCTGGGCACCGGCGCTCTGCCGGTGGCATTTGCGTGCTGTCTGCGGCGCTTGATGTGCAGATTTCGTGGCAGGCGCAGCACTTTGTGAACCTTCATGCGCAGATTTCGTGGCAGGCGCAGTACTTTGTGAACCTCGTGTGCAGATCTCGTGGCAGGCGCAGCACTTTGTGAACCTCCATGTGCAGATTTCGGGGCAGGCACAGCACTGTGTGAACCTCCATGTGCAGATTTCGGGGCAGGCGCAGCACTGTGTGAACCTCGAGGTGCGGATTTCGTGGCAGGCGCAGCCCTTTGTGAACCTCCATGCGCAGATTTCGTGGCAGGCGCAGCACTTTGTGAACCTCCATGTGCAGATTTCGTGGCAGGCGCAGCATCTGTGGAGCTGGAAGCTGAGAACTGGCGACTTTGTAGTGCAACTTTAGTACGCGGAGCAATCTGGGGAGCTGGAAGATGAGAACTGGCGACTTTGTAGTACAACTTTAGTACGCGGAGCAATCTGTGGAGCTGGAAGCTGAGAACTGGCGACTTTGTAGTACAACTTTAGTACGCGGAACAATCTGTGGAGCTGGAAGCTGAGAACTGGCGACTTTGTAGTACAACTTTAGTACACGGAGTATCTGGGGAGCTGGACGATGAGAACTGGCGACTTTGTGGTACAACTTTAGTATGCGGAGCAATCTGTGGAGCTGGAAGCTGAGAACTGGCGACTTTGTAGTACAACTTTAGTACGCGGAGCAATCTGGGGGAGCTGGAAGCTGAGAACTGGCGACTTTATAGTACAACTTTAGTACGCGGAGCAATCTGGGGGAGCTGGAAGCTGAGAACTGGCGACTTTATAGTGCAACTTTAGTACGCGGAGTTTCTGGGGAGCTGGAAGATGAGCACTGGCGACTTTGTAGTACAACTTTAGTACGC